TTCTTTAATAAAAACAGAATTTTTTTTATTACGTGCTTCTATGTTATCCCTCTGTCTCTCAGTCTCTATTTTTGTCTTCGTTTCTTTTGCATTTGTCTACAAAAGCACTAATTCTCATACTTTATCTTATTTATTGTATAAATATTATAACATAAACTTGACAACATTATCTTGATTTTGCTAAAAAAATTTTGCTATAATTTTTTAGTGTACACAACATGGAAAAAATTATGTTGTGTTATTTATTGTATTGAAATACAAGACAGCACAAGAAAAACATATGAATCTCGTAGAGTCTTCCATGTTGCGACAAAGTAAAATTAAACTTTGATACTTGGTTAGTTTATCATTACAAGACATTATATTATCTAGATTGGGAAACGATATATATTAAGACAAACACGAAAAAAAAATTTTTAATTTACGAAAAACCTAATGTGCTTACATTCAAATAAAATATTATTACCGTTACTTAGCTTCAATGGAAAAAGCAAACAAGGAATTTCCTGTGATAATTATAAAGCGGAATAATCACGATTATGTAAATTTGAACTAATTAGAGTGCAAATAACTTTTTAGACACGCACGCTGACACATGTACACACGCGTCATTCACTCAAATACACACCAACCCCCGTCACGATTGTCGGTTTGACGCGTGCTACATTTTTCAAAACAGATCTCAAACATTTTCACTTAGGCAGGCTATAAGTCACAAATTCGAAAACATTGATCGCAGTCATTGAGGTTTCATTGCTTGAAGTGGTAAAGTTTATTAACGCAACGATCATTTGTTGAATTGCATGTGTAAAAGTTGCCAAACTGTGTGTTCGTTGTATAATATTAACATGACAACTACATAACATCAGAAAATAATTTAGACTACCGAAAGTGACAAAAGTATTAGTTGGTTTGTGGTGTGCGTGTGTTGTAAGAATATCAAAGTTAGGCATTTGTTGTTAAAAAAGTTTGAAAAGTAAAGAAAATTTAAAAAAATTAAATGTTGCAAGAAAGTGAGGACGTTCGCCTCAACATATCAGTATCCGAGCTGAAAGTTACAGATTTTCCAAAAAAAAAGATCAACAGACGTTACTCTAATGATGTTATCTTTGTTCAAGAAAAAACAATGATTTTCAAAAGCATGGCGTGTGCAACAATATTTTTATTTTTATGTTGCATTGCCATTTATATCCATGTGCTGAGAATAAATGGTAAGTTATACTACTGATAAGTTAAACTATTGTTTTATTTATATGTGTGCATGAACCCAGAAAAATCGATATTTAAGAAAAAACTTTGAACGAAAACTTAATAAAAAAATTAGAATTTAACTTAAAAGTATCAGAACACAGTAATAATTTCTTGTAAACTATTTTACTACCAACTGATAGATTATATATTTTATACACAGATGTGCCACCCAACATTTGCTTCTCACGTTCGTGTAATCGTACATGTAAGGATATTACAAAAACACAAATTTGATATTAATCTTTATCGTGTCTATTTTAATATTTCAATTTTTAGCTGAATTAGTACTCAAAAATATGAATCAATCAGTGAACCCATGTGAAAATTTTTACGATTTTGTATGTGGTAAATCTAGTACTGATTCTATACTAACATCAATTCACAACGACATAGTTAACGTATTGAGTGATTTAATAATGGAAAAAACGTCTGAAGATAGTCCAGAATATTTGAAAAAGCTACATCGGTATCACAAGGCTTGTATGGATGAAAGTATGTATTATTTTAAAATCACTGATTAATAAAACTTTGGACTTTTTATCCAAACTCAATTTGTTTTATACCATGCAATAATTATCTAGTCATAAAAATAAAATACAGCAAACATGTTTGTTTGAAAATCATTACATAATTAATATCCCCATAAAATCGTTAATCTTTGCATAAAATTTATTATTGAAATTTTGTTAAAGTAATTAAAAAAACACTTTTTTATGAACAGCTGCACCAAACACGCGAGCTGAAGATGATCTGAAATATTTATTTGATAAGATTGGTTGGCCTTTTTTGGAAAAAGATAAATCATGGAACGGAATGGAATTAGAATGGACAGATATTGCACTTCAATTTCACAAAATAGGCTTACCTTTCAACTACTTTTTACAATTATCATTCCAAATCAACATAACGAATAGTTCAAAGAAAGTGATATATGTAAGCCTTGACCACTTTTATTTCCAATACAATTCCTTACAAAAATCAATGAATATTATCTTTAGCTGTCAAATCCTGTTTTGGGAACCCAAACGGAAACTTTGCTGCAAGCCTTCAATGATTCTAATGTACGAAATTACAAATCATACATGATCAACTTGACAAGAATGATAGTAACAAACAACAATAATAATATGGAAGGGGAACTTGAACAAGTACTCAAATTTGAGATGGAACTAGCAAAAGTAACTTTTTATGAAATCCATTCATTAAATTTTTTTGATGTTTACTAGAAGTAAGTATTGTATTCATGAGATTATGGTCCTTATAATTAATTGATATAAAAAAAAAAAATTAACAGCTCCTACCACTGACAAAGAAACAAAACAATATTTCAAGTTTATACACGGCTATATCGGTCAAAGACTTGGAATCAAGGTATCCGTGCGCGAATTGGCTCAACTACCTAAACGAAATCCTAACGCCGTTTGCAAGAATCGACGCATCAGAAATAGTTTATATTCTGGAACCCACGTACTTTGAAAAATTTTGCGATCTCATGACAAACGGAGGATCACCTAGTCGTGTGTTGGCAAATTATGCCTTCTGGAGAGCCATAAATGACGCACTGTTGTATCTAAGCAAACAAACCCGTGAAACTATCCGTGGAATAATTGATGAAGCTGACAATGATGCGGATAAAAAAGTCAACAGAAAGAGGATGTGCACGACAACTGTAAATGACGATATGTATCTAGCCACAAGCGCATTGTACGTTCAAAACGTTCATAACAATAATTACTCGAATACGACTGCAATTGAAATGATGTTGAAAAATATACAAGCGATTTTCTATCAGACGATCAAAAAGGTGTGTTATGGTAATTAGCGGAACACATGATATGCAAAAACTTCAGTTTTAAAAATAAAGCAGATTAATTTAGTTAAAAACACTTTAGGTCGGTTGGTTGGCTGATGAGACCAAGGATAAAATTCTCAAGAAAATTTCTCAGATGGATCTACTGATAGGATATCCGAATGAGCTTCTCGACGACTCTCACCTCAACCATTATTACAAGGACCTGGATGTGCCAATGAACCAAAATGCTTTGAAAACCGCGTTGAGTTTGTACAAATTTAGGTGGAGAAAAGAAATCGAGGAATTCACGAAACCATTCAACAGGTCAGATTGGACTGGAGTATTTGGCCATGTCACTCAGTTAGATGCTGCGTATTCGTTTCAAAATGCGATGTGTCGGTATTAGATTGGATTCTTCTGCGATAGTTGAGGGGATTAATGTTGACCTCTGAAATGCAATTCTTGAATACAATGAATTATACGTTCTTGAATTATTTTTATCCAATAGAGTATTTAAATCAATACTATTAACTATCACTACGTGAAGTTTGGAATGAATATATTAACCGTGACTTAAATTTTTTTCATAACTATAATTAATTGTGATGCAACCATGTTTAGAGGCAAGATAATTGGGCTGTCCTTAATACTTTCATTTCAAACTAAATATGTCTGTATCAATTACCTAACAAAGAAAATAATATGTTAAAGTTTACTTCTATCGAAGATATTTTACTAATGCTAATATAAAAAACTTATTTTTTATTTAATTTGATTGGAATTCAAAGGTCCATGAACACTATTCCCTAGATAGAACTGTTGTTAACATCAAAAAATTAATATTCATTTACGTTAAATCACAGACCTCTCTAGGATAACGATAAATCCATCACTTTTTGATGAAAATGTTCCAAATTACATGAATTATGGAATGTTGGGATTCATAATGGGCCACGAGATGGCCCATTCAGTATCGATGTATACACGATTATTTGATGAACACGGCAATTTACACGATGATGATTGGTGGGATGCCAAAAGTACGGAAATTTATATGAATAAATCCAAATGTATCATTGATAAATACAATGCCTACGCATATCAAAATTCTGAGCTACACGTAAGTATCACGTAAACTTTTCACATTTTTTATAGTAATTTTTCGAAATTCACAATGATGTAAGCATTGATTTTTGGTATTTACAGACCGACGGTGAACTCACAGTTAATGAAAATTCAGCTGACATAACCGGCTTGCAAATCGCTTATCACGCGTACCTGGATTCGATTAAAAATAAGCTCGAGGAGCCACTTCTGCCGGGTTTTGAAAAGTACACGCGTAATCAAATGTTTTGGATCGCCTCCGGCTCATCTTGGTGTCAAGAAAATCAAGCATCGAGTAGCACTGAAAGTGGCATGACTGCGGATCATCATGCACCAGACAAGTTACGCGTTATAGGGACCGTGTCAACTCTGAAGGAATTTTCAAACGATTTCAATTGTAAGCCAGTAGATGCTATGAATGCACCTATAAAATGTGACTTGTGGTGAGGTTGTAATTTTTAACCTCAGTAGAATGACTTTCTTACGTTGTGAAGATGTTAGTTCATGCATGAACAATTTCGTGATTGTAAAATAAAACGTATGACTTGTAGGTGGCGTAGCAAAATTTTTCAGTATTAATGTTTTGAACAAATAGAATATTACTTTTTATCAGTGTAAATATATAAATGTAATAAGATAAATCAATATCGAATAAGTTGTATTAATATTCTTTCTCTCAGTTTTTTATTTTAGCTGATAAATAGAATTTTCAAACAATCTTAAATAATAAATTAATGACAGCACCTACGATATTTAATGTAAAATGCTGATAGTAATTTTAAAAAATGAAAAAAATGAAATTTCTAAACAATATTATTGTTTTTAAGGCGTGAGCTGTACAAAAAAATCCTTAACGCTTCATGAGTCCCACATTTTACCGATGTCGATCGACATTCGAAACTTCGCAAAGAATTTTTTTCTTTCGCTTTTTGCACAGACGATCAAGGTATCGATTACATCCATCTCTGAAGGACACATTGTACAACGTCCGAAACAGCAGGTCAGGTTTGAAATTGATGAATTTCACGACGGCACGTTGCACTTCGACAATCGAGAGTTGCGTCCGTCCATAAATTTCATCTCAACAATGTCCGCACACGTGTTTTATGAAAGAAAAAAATCACGTTGAAGTATTTTGTGTCAGCTGGGCATCAGAATTCATTAATGTATGCATTTTATCAACTAAAACACGATTTTTTTTTTTAAGCCATACTTTCTATTTTTATTTCCAAGGCGCCCTTCCGCTTCACTCAACCTTTAATCAACTCTTTCCATCCGCAGCGCCTACATTTCGCGAACGAGCAATCGAGTAAATAACTCAACTATGCAAAACTTTTCGCGGTTCGTCGATCCTTCCCAAGCTTTTAACAAGTTAAGTGATTGCAAACACTGTCCAATCCCTTTTTTTCTTCTAACAGCCAAAAATTTTTCAATCACATCAGCAAAGCTCAGTTTGAGGATGATAAAACTCGCGACCGGATTCTGTCAAAGACTATACGTGAATGCACCCGTTAAAGGGTAAAGGACGTAGGGCATAAACACGAGAAAAAACAATCGTGAGTATTGCGTAACGCCCAGCTGTCACTTGTACGATCGGATTCGACGTTTACACTTATACTCTGTCAACACGGTGTAGCCGCATTTTCCAGTTTTTACGGTCAAGAAACAATGTAGGGGACACTTTTTTTCAATTCCTTTGTTTCTGTTTGCGTCTTTTCAATTTTATCTGTTAGAGGTTGGATGAAACAATTTTTTTTTTTTCGCTTGGGGACATGTTGGCCACAGCGAGAGATCACGCTTTTGCGTAGTTCGGGAATGATTGATTTTTATGACAGGGTTGATCTTGTTTTGTAAACTTTTCCAGCACTTGTAATCTGTTGTTGACGGACGGATGTAAAATTAATATCTTGATGTATTTTTGACCTTTGATTTTTGCGTCGGATGCAAAGATTGTAGATTTTGAAGTGTATGAGGTGATAGAAAAGTTATTGAATAGTTTTGATGATTTAATTAACAGGTTAATCACGTAAAAATTTAAAATGATGACTATTAGTAACAATTTTTTTCTCAAAACATAAAAATTATATTTTTCAGATCAAAATCACATTAACTCATTCTGTTTGAAAACTTTTTTTCAATAATTCTATATTTTTAATTATAAAACGATTTTTATAATAACTTTTTGCTTAATTTAATTTAGTAAAGAAAAATAAAGAAACGTTATGGTTTTCTTTTTCCAAAAACTTTGATTTGCGTGTCAACTGTATTAAACAATAAAATAAGTGCTTTGTTTTAAGTTTTAAACAAATATTCAGAAAACTATGTTACGATAATTTCTACGTTTTCAAAGATATAAATTTTATACTGTCAGGTTTTTATAACTTGTTCAATTTCTATCGGAACAAATAAACCTTTATAAGTAAATAATAAAACACACACACAAATTGGTTTAAAAATAAGTCATTAGTATTGAAAACTTGAAGAAAAAAAAAGTTATAAGCAAGAGTTTGAAGAAGCCCCGAGCCAATTGATTGGCAGCGATTTTTTATGTACAAAAAAAATACGATGTCATTTATGAAGCAAAGCAATACTTATTAAAGCTGTGATGATCATGACCACAAGATAAATCACAAGATTCTCAAGAAAATAAATGATAAATCGCATCAATTTCGATTCACCTCTGTTCTATCCACCCCATCGTCGGTACCTACTCCCCCTTTTTGCCGAGAAAAAAACACCCCAGCAATAAATCGTTCGAGTTTCAAAAACCGCAAAAGAAGTCGCCTCGACTTAACCACCGATCCCCTAATTGCGCTTTTCCATTTAAATGCAGTTTTCAACGAATAGCTTCCGAAGACATGCTACCTCATTGTACTAAAGCTGCAAAAAATCCTCGCCGTCTCGACCGGAAACAGCGCAGCTGCAGTAACCTACCAAAATCGATTTTGTACCAATGCGTCCACGCAAAAAAGTCGAAAAAATTACAGAAAAGTTGAGGCAAGGTATATAAGTATATATGAATAAACTCACATTTTTCATAACGAGAGGGAAGGAGGAGTCGTCTTTCGAAGCGCGCAACTGAGACATCACGTGCCTAGAGAAGAAAAATCATCGAGGAAGGAGGAGAGCAATAAGTGGCGAACGATAACTTCCGAAAGCTCGGAGATAGGAAGAGGACGGAAAGAAGGAGAGATCGCGTAAGCTCTCGACTTATTTACGGGATCCGTCGCTTTCGCCATTTTTCTATTTCCCTTTGGGGTATTAATCCGGTTCGTCAAGCTCCAGCGAGAGGTTTCTTGCCTTGTAAAATCACGTAACAACACGCTATCCAATTCTCCGTAATTTTCAATGAAAAATACACGCAGCGTTTTTTCTTTCCTCGGTTTTTCTGAAAACTGATTTCCCCTCACTCTATACGTGGTCTATTATTTTTCTTGCGGGCACATCCAAGTGGATGCTTTATCTTGTACGCAATGCATACGGATGCTACTAACGACTCGAGTGGTAATAAACGGGGATCGTGATTGATGTACACGATAATGCGCAAGAGGTTTTTCCAGCTCATGTATACCATTAGGGAAAATATACATGGCTTTTTTCATGAATTTAATTATTTATTAATTATCTAATTATTTTTATAGATGTAATTATTTTTCATGCACTACTAAAGAATATTCCCTTTTTTTATCCCAACATTCATAAATATTTAGATTGAATACCACACGTATGTAAGTACTAATTGTTAAGCGGTATTTTTTCATTCCTCGAGCTCAGTGCACCAATGACTAAAAAATACACTAATGAAAGGTTCATAGGCAGACAGAGCGTAGTAATTATGAAATAGACCCTAAAGCCCTCCGGTAATGAAGCGCATATATTTAAAAAAGTTGACTCAAGCGCTTCTCTCACCTCGTATGCATATGTATACATACGAGGTGCGGGCAGTAAACGAAGCCAGCTGGTAGACACATATCAGAGGTAGTCAACCATGCAAATATAAGCTCGAGGTTGTGTCATACGAGTGTGGAGTACGTGTCGACTATTAGGCGATAAAATTGATTAGAAACTTCTGGTCTTTAGAAGTAGCTGTCAATGTGGGTCAAAGAGAAAACCTTCTTTTGTTATTTCTGTAACCATATTTGAACTTACAGCAATGTTTTTCGCCAATGTAGAAATGAAAAAGGGAATAACGACCGATAATTGGAGCAAGATCTGATGAGCTTCCTATTGACAAATGTTATATGACATGTTGTGAATAACCTTGATGAAAGATGTAATTAATCATTTTTTACATATATTTTACTACCGTAATCAAAAAATTAATTAAATTGTTCTGGAGAAAAGGGTTTTCTCAACTATTATTGAAATGAATCGTAAACTTCGTTTAATTAAATCATCATTTGTACTTGAAACGCTTCCTGCGCTCAAGGGTGCTTTTTTTAGCGTATGTTAAACATAAAAACTATTTATTTTAAGAAAAAATTTATCTTAGAATTTCATCCAGAGCCAATACAATATAGTCTTTGAATTTGTAAACAATGAAAGTATTTTTTATTTTTGGATTTTCTTATGAATTTTTAGAAAATTGGTGTGAAAAATCTTAAAAATGCAAAGGTATAGAAAAAATGTATGCAAGTGTGAAAACAAGATTTCTCTGTATATTCTAGCACTAGCAATAACCATAGAAAAAATGAAAAATTGTGAATGAGATAAAAACTGTGCACACCAGCTGATGTTTGCCGATTTCTGTTGTCATTTCCGCATGTAAGATACACTCTGTTTTCAGTTTCGAAAATACGTTATCCTTTATAGATGATGTTTCACAGTAAGGCACCCAAAAGAAGCCTGTCAATGTTGGAGTTGGAGGCCATTGTTTGGACTCTGCTCCTACCTTTATACTTAGCTTCACAAAACTTTTTGTCTCTTCATTTCATTTTTGTTATTTTTTTTATCATGCCCGGGAAAAAAAATTTTGTCTTTTGAATTATTCTTTTTCTAGAAGAAGCTCTACAAAAAAAAATGAAGGTCTGGGATATTATATGCACTTTTTATTTATCTTGATGCATTACCATTGAAAAATTTATAGTTATTATGTATGTAAGTGCACTACATGTTTTATCCATCACATCTCAGGATTTACTACACCAATTTTGATTCAACTAAATATTTTTTGTTTTTTAATTATTTTGACTGATAAATAAAATTTTTTTCTATTATTATTATTATTATTGTGTAAAATTATTTGTGTGATTTAAACGCTAAATTATCATACATACAATTTTAGATAATTTATTAATTTGAAACAATAATTTTTTTTCTTAAATATTAAAAAATCCTCCCTAGAATCATTGAGAAATAAAACTAAATTAAACTCTTTTTTTCAACCAAAGACCATTAACAATTATGTTTAAAATATTTTTTTCCAATTCACGATTTGAAGTAAGAAT